CGTGATAGAGAGGTATAAATAAGTATAAAATAAGAACGCTCTTCAGAACATACACATGTGCGAAATCTAAACCGGCTTTTGCAAGGCTAGCAGGTCAGGCCTCGTTTTCGTGGTTTCTGCATTGGGATTTTTCCCGACGAGCGGAAGCTTCTAAACTCTTCTTCTCTGCTTTTACTCTCGTCGGAATTTTGTCGACAATTTTAGCACTAGGTTTTTTGTCCGAGCCTTTAGATACTTTGCTGGAAACGCTAACTCGAACCGCTAATCTGGGCTTCATATACTCAGCTTGTGATGAATTCTTTTCCTGCAATTCGAAATTTCAAAATCACACCATTCATTATATGAAGGGTTGAAATCGTCTTTTCCACTAGATTCGAACAATTTAAGCTATAGTGCAAGTACATGCACGAAAAAAAAAATCTACAAACCTTGGAAGATGAACCTCGTTCTTTTCCCTCAGTTACACAACTATCAAGACTCTCAACTTTCACTTCGATCTCTGTTTCCGGTTCCTTAAACTCATCAAACCACGGAGAATGGATTTCGTCGTTATTCATGCGATTGATCGTATCGTCCGCGATGTCGTATTTTTCAGAGGTTTGATACTCAGCAATCTCGTTTCGACTTTCGGGCGAATTTAGACCCATAATACCCTTGTTTCTAAAACGAGCCTCAAAGTAAGCCTTCTTCTCGATAACTAAACCCGGTTTCGAACATTTCTCCACCTCTTCAAGATACCTGTTGTGCGAGAACGACGACCTCCTCTCCCAACATAGCGCTTCGTTTTCGAATCTTCCGAACGAGATCGAGCCTGAATTGAATGAAACTGCCTGTTCATTTCAAGAAAGTAACTTCATCAATTATAATAATATATTCACCATTAGTTCATACGGAAATCGTATTTAAAAAAGCTACGAAAAGACGATTTATCATAAAAATCGGGACTGCATTCTTCTTAATTAAGTATAGATGCAGTGAGTAAAGATCAAATCTAGCAGGAAATCCCAGATCCATAGTCATTGCCAAAATTGCAGTTCATTATAACACAAACAATAGAAATCATTGATGATCAAGTTATATATATATAATATAAAAAAAAAAAAAAAAAATCCACCATATTAATAGGCAACACATGCACTGCCGAGTGCTGACCAAATTAAACAATGAATTCAATTTCAGTTAATTTCAGAAGCCTCACCACACAATACGAACAAATGAAAAGGTAAAATAAATAAATAAATAGAAATGTAAATATAAAAAATAAAATCAGATGAAGTGAGATCCGAAATGTAAATGGTACCTGAAAATCAAGACTGATAGGCTCCACAATTTCACCCGCCATTTTTGAACTGTCACCACCACACCACTGCTTAATTAATTAATTAATTAATTAATTCAAAGGCAGGCATCTGAACACAATAATCAAAACCCATCAGCCAAAACACAAAAATCCATCATTTTGATCACTCACCATTGCAACAACATTAATTAAAAAAAATGTAGAGAGAGAAGAAGTTAGAAGTAGAGAGAGAAACTAAACTTACAAAACCATTGAAAAAACGAAGAATAATAGTTTGGTGATGTGATTAATTGTGGTGTAAACACAAGAATCGCTTCTTTGCTTTAAAAGATGGAAAACGATTAGATTTTCGAGGAATTACAATTTACAATAAAAAGGGGGTGAAGTTGTGAGAATTGTGGTGAAAGACGATGCACAACTATACTTGTTACTGGGTAATAAGTTTATATATATATATATTATTATTATTATGTTATGGACAAACTAATTTATTTATTAATATTATTTTTTATTATGTAATTGCATAATGCATACTAAATAGAGTATGTAGTAACTAGGACGAGTGATCTGGTGCTGCAGAGATGCATGACGGATCATGTGCCACTGCTCATATTCTTTTGTCCTTTTCTGTGAATAATATATATATATATTCTGATATATTATATTATATTATATTATAGGGGCAACCTTGTTGATATGTTGCTTTACCGTTGGATTTCTCATCATCGACGGCTGTTAACAATTGCATGTGGGCTTTCAAGGATCTCACACGTGGCAGTAAGTTGAGACCTCTACGTTCGTCAGAAAGTGGTTTCATCATTGCTTGGATCTAATCTAGTAGTATATGATGAACTTGTGATTGTGATTTGTTTTATTTTTCAAACAAAAGTACAATTATAAATTTGAAATGCTAAATATACTACAATTTTGTTCACAAGTCATCTCTTTAAGTAAAGAAAAAAGGTTAGAAAAATAATAGGGTTAATTTCACTTACTTTTTCTGTATTAAATAGAAATCTTCACTTGTATATTTTTATTTTTCACTATTAAATTCTTCAATTGTCCCCTATTATACTAATTATACAATTTTCTTCTCGGTCTTTTCAACTTTATAATAAAACATATTCAATAAAGAAGGACATATTTAGCTTAAAGAAGGGTATAATAGGTATAACATATGATTTGGAGAGGGAGGGTAGAGGTAAGTGATACGATCCTAACAAACTCAAATATGAAGAATTGGAAGAAGAGAAAATGAGTGAGAGTAATGAAGTCGTTCTTGTTGGAATTGAAGAATAAAGGCTTGAATCAAGCCTTTGAAGATTCCTTGATTTGAAATTGGAAGAAAAAGAAAAAGAAAAATTCGTTGGACATGAATTTTATGCATCCCGAAAGCCCCGTACCATTCTGGCAGAGTTTACCATTCGTCTTATATCTCTCATTTCCAAAGTCCATTTTAAGGTGATTCACAATGATTAAGAAAGCTAACTGCATGATCTACAACTTTCATGTTTTGACCAAAGAGAGATTCAAAGTGGAACAGTGTCGAAATCGAGCTAGAAGTTCTTGGACGTGCAACCAACTGTCTACACAAGTTTAAAAGGGTGATCGAGAAGTCGAATTGATATTCAAGTTATTTAATTAATTTATTAACGTTTTTATTTTAGTATTTATTATGTTTTTATTATTTTAGAGTCTTTTATGGTTAGGATTTTGCTTATTTATTGGTTTTGTTATTATAGTATAGGTTATGAGTCATTTTCCTTCTGAAAAATGAGTCGTTTTATCATTTATAAATAGGTTGCCAATTTGGCTTGTTTGAATAGACGAATTTTGATAAATAAATTGAGTATTTTCTCTTTGGTTCTTCAAAAACCATTATTTTTTTATGAACTTATGGGAGTTTCTTCGTGGGGTTCACCCCTGACTTATCAATCAATCTTCTGCAATTGATTGTGGCGTCTTCGCATACCAAGGTTCTTGCCTCTTTATAGGCAACTGGTCGCGGTTCCACCCATTGATTTCTTCTTTTGGACGGTCCAGGATTTGATATCCGAAGTATTGATATCGGGTATCGTCACATGGTTGGCGTGGTTTGTATCAGTAAGTGAAGGTTTCGGTAGTATAAGGGAGATAAGTGAAATTTTCATATTAATACAGGAGAGGTAAATGAAATTAGCCCAAAATAATAATTATATAACTTTTAAACGATTTCAGAGCAACCAACAAATGATCTCAATCGCTTTGAGCAGGATTCTTCTAAAATATTTGATCTATTTTTTGGTATATATAATAATCGTGATGAATTCTACTTACTTGAAAATAGAAATAACTTCGAAAATACGAAAATGACAAATCGACTTAGACTTTCAAGAGCAATGTTCTTAATTAAGACAATATTTTTGGCTTGTCTATGGCGCAGCATGTTTTTCCTGATGATCTCTCAACTTTAATTTTATAAATTAAAGTTGCTCGTGTAAAAATATGACACATGGCAGCAGAAGACGCACCCGGTGTTTATCATCGGGTATAGGGTCGAAGGAGCCCCGGTTAGGCTTTTCCGACAACCTTGTTTTTCGACTAATCATTAGGGTTTTATTTGTTTACTTTTCTTTGGCTAGGTTATTTTTGGACAGTGGCCGTCTATTTGATATTTGATAGATAAAAAAATTAAGAACAAAAAAACGAAAAAAAAGAAAAGAAAGAAAAACCGACGACGTTATTTTATTGTTAAGACGAGGCGCTTGGTAAACGAGCCGAGCCGGCTCGTGAGCTCGACGAACCGGCTCGTAAAAAGCTCGAACTCGGACTCGAGGTTTTCGAGCTCGAGCTCGAGCTCGCGAGCTCGAGCTTTCTGACGAGCCGAGCTCGAGCCCGATTTTAGTTGTTCATCAGCTCGCGAGCCGGATTTATTAATATTTTTTTATTTTTTTTATTTTTTTTATTTTTTATATGTTATTTTTATTTAAAAATGTATAATAATATAAAATATTATAGAAATAAATACAAATATTAAAAAAATATATAATCACAATTTTGTGTTTATTTTGTAATTTTTTAAAATATTTTTTAATAATAAAATAATAATAAAATAATAATAAAATAATAATAAAATAATATTTAAAAAAAGAAAAAAAAAAAAAAAAGGGATTGGGCTCGAGCTCGAGCTCGAGCTCGAGCTCGACAAAATTAACACGAGCTCGAGCTCGAGCCAGAAAAAGAAGAACTCGACGAGCTCGAGCTCGACAAAATAAACTCGAGCTCGAGCTCGAGCCAGCCAAAAGAGGCGAGCTCGGCTCGAGCTCGGCTCGTTCACACCCCTAGGCGCTTCAAAAATAAATCGGACATTTTAATCATTAGAATTATCAAAGTTGCACACCATGTATGTGCATTGTTTATGACTACATACATAAAGAATCGGATCCAATGCTACTTGTCGCCTAATCTCACACAGGTTGTTCTCGTTTTGTAATAACACCATGTGTACAAACATATGAAACTAAGGACATAAAATTCCACTAGACGAAACTATGCCCATGTGGAGTTAATAATACTTGAACCCAAATTTCTCTAGGCACACATATTTTGTTGGGGCATGGGAACCAAATCACAAATGTCCAAAATCAAGAAATTGAATTTTTTCGGTGCTTTCAGAAACCATGTGAGCTTCAATCACATTCTAAATACATAACCAATATTTGGTACCTTTTTCTATCCCAAAATGAATTTGTTGTTATAAATAATTAGCCGTCAGTCATAATAATATACATAATTGAGGGGTTTTAGGTGAACGATCTAAATATAGGGGAATATAAAATTATATATCTTATTTTAGAAAACTGAAATGATTTGTGCAGGTACAATTTAATCATGCAGGCACTTTTTTTTTTATTATTTTTAAAAAATCAAAACGAAAATATTCTCACAAACTTTTTCAAGCTTTTGGAGTTCGATTTCAGATCCCCACTGAAACGACAACAGATCGGATGTAATTTCTACATTTTTTTAATTGTTGCGTTACGTAGATTACGATTGTTGAATTTTTTTTTAAAGCAAAGCATCTGGTAGTACTCGCGTGATTCTACACGAGTACAGTGGAGTTACACGTGTAGAACCACTCGAGTAGATGAATGTAATTTTTTTTTAAATAAGTATGTTTTGATTGAAAAATATTAAAAAAAAATGGAGCTCGTGTGTTATTAGGCGAACAGGACGGTTGTGCTCGTGTCAAACCACGCGAGCTCAGTTCATCGAGCTCGCCTAAAATCACACGAACTCCATTTATTTTACTTTTACTTTTTTTTTGTTGCTCGTGTGAAAACACGCGAGCAGATCTATTGTCCTCGTGTGCCCTGCACACGAGGAAAATTGATCTGCTCGCGTGTCTTCACACGAGCAACTTTAATTTTTTTTCTTTTTTTGTTATTATTATTTTTTTAATTAAATACTAATTCATTTTTTCTGTTAAATTATAGATGACCGAGGATAGAGGGAAAATTTTAATGAGTCCAGTTGCAGGAAAATGTAAGAGTTTAATGAAAGCTTTGGGTGGGAAGTCGAACAATCGGGATGATCCGGATCGTATTGGAGATCAGGGAGTTCTTGCATCCGATCGTAGGAAAGCGACGGCAAAAGAAGAAGCGAAGAGAGCGAGGGAAAAAACTATTGCAAGTCGGAGTTTTCTGTACCTATTGCCGACTATGTTACATAGACACGAGAACGGGGACACGGCGACACACAGACACGGACACGGGGAAACCTTTAATCAAAAAAATAGGACACGGGAACGTGGGGGATACGTGTAAATATAAAAAATATAGGGGTCTATTTGTAAATTATTAAAAAAGTTCTTTTGCTTTTTTACAATATTAAAATCATAATATAGTTGGAAAGAGAAAAGAATAATACTGCACTAGGCACAATGTGGAAAATAAAAATGGCAGAAGTAGAATAGGTTTGGGCTCTTTCAGAAAAAAGCCTTTTTTTCCTTCTTTGACACGTGTGTCAATTATAGATACCCGTGTCCAACTATTTAAATATTACAGATACGCCCCACCAGCGTATAATACGCGTATCATCGCGTTTCGTGTCAGAAACGTATCTGACACGGGGAAACTTTTCCCTTTAGCCGTATCTATGTAACAGAGATTGCCGATGATCTTCAAATCTGTCATGTTCGTACTCCGTTGCACTATGCGTCCGATGATGGCGATGAGACGGTGGCTAGTGATGACGACGATGATGACGAGGAGATGGTGGCTAATGATGACGGCAACGATGTTCATGATGGTGGTGAGCTGGCACGTAAATGTGGTCGTGGCTTAAATTTTCCAATTTTGGATGGTCCGCCGTATTTGGAGGGTCCGTGCGAGGGAGGGCCTAAAAAATTGGAGTTTATGCGTTGGTTCAAGTCTTATATAGCGATATATATTTTGGATGGATATGTAAGTTTGATTTCAATACGTGTTTTATATATTTTTACAAAAAAAAAATCGCTATCTAATATATGTTATTTAATTTAGCAACGTCATGACACTGGACAAGTCGAGTCGAGAAATAAAATCACAGAAAAAACTACCTCAGTCCGCAGGATGACACGACGATTAGCAGGTTGGAGGCAACCGGAATTTACCACTTACGACACTGTTGGCTTCCCAATATGAATCAAAAGCTAATGTTAGTGTTCGTCGAGAGGTGGTAGCCGGAGACGAACAACTTCAACATGCCGTGGGGAGAGATGACGATCACGCTCTACAACATTGTTTTAATCATGGAGTTGCGAGTGGACGGACCGTTAGTTGCAGAAGTTCCCAATCATTAGAGTGATCCCAAAGTCTTGCATCTCTATTGGGGCTCGGGATAATGACTACGACTGACATGTTTCGATACAAAGAAATTAATTAGACAATGGTGAAAGAGCTCTTGAGCAAGTCGTATGCCACTGACGAGAAGATGTAAGGATATTTAATGTTTCTGTTGGAGTCGGTTTTGTTTGTAGACAAACCATCTTCAATGTTGAAGCCGTGGTGGATACATTATACGAATGATATCGACGAAGTCGGCCACTATTCGTGGGCTGCGGCGTGCTTAGCAAACATGTAACGGCAATTAGGTATTGCTAGTCGCGCTGGGATGAATAGACTTTGTGGGTGCCCGACTCTCCTTCTAGTAAATATATTACTATTTTATATTTTTTTCTTTATTTATTTAGTTTTTGTACAATATTTGGTGTTTTTAATACGATATGTGTTTTTTTTTTATATTGTTGGATATTTGAGTATTTTCCTTGCTTTCAACCAGAGGTTTCTCCGACATATACAGAGTTCCAGCCTTGGTGTAAAAAGTGGGCCTCTGACGGTAGTTGTAGGCAGAAATTGCAGTATTATCGGAAGTTGTTCGACGACATGTCAGAAAGAGATGTAAGTTAGTTTGTAATTTAGATAGAGCATGCGTTGTAATATGTTTATTCAAACTTGTACCAAACTTGTATAGGTTTGCTGGACACCATACGGGGCTAATGCACATTACCAGATTCCTCGTAGTATGTATTACGACACTATATAATTCATTGAGATAGTGGAGTCGTACATGTTAGACCGTGTTTTGCGGCAATATGGTAGAGTCCAGACAATCACGTTTCACAATATCGAATCTGTTGAGCCCCACAACTGTGATATGCATGCTAAGGGTTACAAGGTCACATTTCACGCACCCGGCCGCATGTGGGAGAACGAAAACGCCAACTTCATTAACTTATCGAACTACGAGGAAATGTGGCCTCCTGAAACAGTTCATCCGAACTATATAAAATGGTATGTGAAACGTACGAACCGGTATTTGTGTAACCCCATAAGAGCGTCATCTTTAGTTAATCCCGTTGTTGCCCTCCACCAGATCACCTGTTTGCAAACGATATAGTTCTGCTGGGTATCAACCTGGAGAAACAACATTCAAAGAGCCATAGAAATAATCAATTTATATATAGCCATAATATTTTATTTAAAAGCAATTAAAATATAACATTATATCAAGAGGGTGATTAATATACGCATAAGCATGAAACAATTATACCACTAATCATGAAATCAATAAACAAATCAAACCACTGTTAATGATAATAGGAATTGAGCCATGCTACTAACAGTTTCAATATTCAAGATTTTGCAGAAATTTAAATGGGAAAAGAAAAGAAAAGTGGGAAACGAAAAGGTATGCATTATTTGTAATTAATGTGCACGTATATTTATTTAATTAAATTTGTTTTTGAAATAATATATAAAATTTTAATTTCCACGGTGTACATTTGCCTGATTCCCAACAAAACGTCCCAAGGATTCCAATAGCTCAATTATGTAATATTAGTAGATTAGAGTAATTTGATGAGGTTCTAGAGTTGAACGTTATTATGCTGCAAGTATAAATTTTCTCCATTTTTTTCATTACAATGTTAATTGTTTGAAGCGACGACGGAGTTTTTGATTTTTGGCATCAACGAACAATTAAGTATCTATTGTGTAGTTTATGATAATTGCAAGTTCTAAAAACGTGAAAGTTGATCATTAATCTATGTGATAAGTTGCATTAGCCAGTTTGTTATTCCGCACCCGTGGTCGCATTTGCTCGAGGGCAAGCAATCATAAACAAGAATGATGGTACGGTGGTGCCACTTGCCGAAATTCATCTCGTGTAATAACAATAAACACAACTACAAATTTAAGAAAATCTATATATGTACAAACAAAGCCACAGCCACTTTAATTACCTCTACCTAAAAAATAGCACCGGGCTATATATCTGACTAGCTAGGGAAGTAACTATAAGTCTATAACTAACTAAACTACATAAACATAAATAAATTAAAAACGTGCTAAAAATGCCGAATCCACGTGCGTTAAAAGCTAGGCCCTGGATGATGCAGTATTAGTATTACCAGCGAGGAAAGAAGCGGTTTTAGTGGTAACGTCTCGGAGGGGCTTGTCCGTAAATCTGATCAAATTGTAAGTAAAACCACCCATTATTGTGCCTACAATAGGACCAACTACGTATACCCAAAGCCCCTTGTATTCATGCATTATTATTGCCGGCCCTATACTCCTTGCTGGATTCATCGATCCTCCTGATACCGGCCTGCATTCGTTTCATTTTCATTTTTACAAATTAAATAAATTGACGATGATTTTCGAGATTTATTTTATTATAGTAATAATGTAGAATTGATTTTTTACATGTATATGTATATGTATATGTATATGTTAATGGGTAAATTACGAAAATCTTCCTGAACTTAGGCTGAATTACGAAAAACACCCTCACATATCCGTAATTACCGAAATCCCCCCGATGTTTGTTTCCAGACCGACCCCTTTAAGGTGTGATTTTTCATCGAATCCTTTTTATTTCAAGTAATATTTCCCGAAAATTAAAATGCCGATTTTATCTATCCTTACAGACGTGATATTTTTCTTTAAGCTACTTTTTAAAGACAAAAAATAATTTTTGTCTTTAAAAAGTAACATAAAATAATGCCACGTTTGCGGAGGTAGAATTGAATTTTTCAGGAAATATTAATTGGAATTAAAAAGATTCCGTGACAAATTACACCATAAGGTGGTCGGTGTAAGACGTAAAAAAATACCGGGGAATTATGGTAATGAAGGATTTGATGGTGTTTTTTGTAATTTAGCTTAAGTTCAGGGTTGTTTTTTTTCGTAATTTACCCTATATTAATTGAATTATTATTACCCAGCAACGAGAACGTCGACGAGTATAGTCATTCCAATCGCAATTCCAGCCAGTTCTCCAATCTGTTCAAGTACCCAATATAATTGTGTTATATTATATATTCACTACATTATTTACTAATTCCATAGTTAATTAGTTTGATTTTTTTTTTTTCTGAATTTATTGAAAATTATTATCGATTATCTGGCTTACAGATCTATTATCTGTGGCAACACCAGAAATGACGAACATCAAGAGAAAAGACGTAATGAATTCGATGACGAGGGATTGTACGTTGGATCCAATCGGTAGGGTTCCAAAGTAATCATCTTTTCCCACATCGAGCACAAGGTACAACGTTCCACTCGCAAGAATCGACCCCAACAACTGCGCCACTATGTATAGAGGCACCTGCGTGCACGCACACACGCACGTTAAAATAATCTCCGATTTCATCACCAATTATTATTATTATTATTGTTGTTGTTGTTGTTGTTTTTTCATTAGATTTAACCCCCTGAATATGGGGTGTAACACTTTACCTTATTCAAGTATCAAATAAAAGATTAAAATAATTGACAATGATATAAAAAAGAAAAAAATAACATTAATAAAAATTATGAAATACACTACATAAATTTTTTAATATGTAAGTACAATACATCATCGAAAAATATATTATTTTAATTTTGTTTGAAATTTTATATTGTTGTATCTAATCAGAATTTGATTTTTTTTACATTATTTTAATCGTGTTTGAAAATTATGATAACTTCTTATCTTGAGAAATAAATATTAAATTAGATAATTAATATTAAAAATAACGAAAACAAATTCTGATACATTGAACTGATATATATATATATATATATATATATATATATATATATATATATATATTTAAGATATGCATTATATTTCATAAAAAAAAATTCTATTACCAATTAAAAAAAATTGTTGGGGGTATGATTTAAATAATAATTTCTAATTTAAAAAAATATTAAGAAGAAATTAATATAATTATAATTAAATAGAAAAATATATTAATCATGCACTGCACATACCATGATTAAATGTATTTAACAATTTTTATTACGGGTATAAAATCATTTTGATATTACTATTAGTTGTATTAAGAATTTTAATAGATAGAAGGAGGTTAATATTACATTTGATAGTTAAAGGAGCAAGTGTTATACACCACATAGCTGAAAGAGGCAATGTGCATTTAACCTTTTTATCAAATATAAGAAAATGATGCACCTGTTTATAAGGGAATTGTCGGAAAATGGCGAAAGTAATGGTGACGGCTGGATTAAAATGGGCGCCGGAAATATGGCCGACGGAGTAGACCATGACCATGACAGTCAAACCCCATGCAATGCATATCCCCGGAAATGTTATTGATCCGTATATTTTATCCACCGCCACCGAACCGCAACCTATAAATATCAAGAAGTACGTCCCGATCGCCTCTGCAATCACCTATTTAATTAATAATTACATATATATCATCATCACCATCCCATATTAATTATTAACGTAACAAAAATGAAGCGTGACACGATCAACGATTTTTTTACTTTTTGGGTGATCACGACAACACTATTTGAGGTGCAGAAGGTTGATCCTTCGTCGTTTGCAGATTTTCTGCGCTCTTCTTCCGGTTCAGTGATGCCTTCTTCGATTGCCGATATATCCCTTGACGACATTTTCGAATTCGTTCGTTTTTTTTTTTGTTTTTCTTTTTTTGTTTTTTGTTAGGTTTAACTTGTTGAAAGCTAAAAGGAGAGGAGGGAAGTTTGAATGTTAAAAAAGATATATAGTGTAATATTATATTATATTCCTGCTATATATGGAATGACTGGGAGATGGATGGCTATGCTGATTACAAGAATGGCAAAGGATGTTAATTAGTTAATATTTGGCTAATTCATTCAATGGTGTAAGAATCCCATCATTTTTTTTTTACTTACAAACACTTTTGGTATTCTTAACATAGTTAAATGTCAAAACTATTTACTTTGTTTATTAGATTCATTTAAATATTTGATAGTAATGCAGTGACATTCTTATTGACCTGCTGCTGTTTATCAATATACAACTATTTGATCCTGGACTTCCTTAGGAGGCCGAAATTCAATGTAGGCTCGAATAAATTTCGACGATGTATCTCGGCTTAGGCCGAACTCTCGGCTCGACTGCCTTTTTATAGCGAAGTACTTGATGATACTTATGGAAGTATGGATAAATAAACTAAAATAAACTATGAGCTTGGGGTCGAGCTTGAGCTTGTGCCCAAGCCAAAAAAAATACTCGAAGAGCTCGAGCTCGCCAATACAACCACGTTATGCTCGAGCTTGGCTCATTTACACCCTACATCAGAAATTCTATTATAATCATTTATCATTTTGGCACTACATGTAGCACTTTCACATTTTCTCTTTTTTTTTTTTTTTTTTTTTTAGTAATTTAAAAAAAAATATTAATTTCCTTTTCCTTTTTTTTATTATTATTTTATTATTTTTATTATTAGGTTGTTGGCAAAACAAATTCCGATAAGTTTACCACGTTGAATATGACTATATTTGACTACAGTCAACTATAAACGTATTCTATCTTTATATTATCGTTTTTTACATTTTCAACTTAAAATAGTATATTCCCAATTATACTGTAGTAAAGCCATGTATGCCCCAGTTATATAAAACCACAATTTGAATCTTGGTATAACAAGTCAACTTGTAGCCAATAATATAGATCCAAAAATGACCCACAATTTACCATTTTGTTGTCGATGCCATGTGACCCACAAGCAGGCTCGGTTTTGAGGGGCCTTCGAAAATATACATAGCTTATATAAGGGCCTTAAATTTCAATTTTCAATTTTGTTGTTTTCGATTCCAGACTTTGAAATTAAATCCCAAATTATCACTCATCTTTTTAAATTTCAAACCCAAATTCCACAAATTGGATTCTTAAATTTCAAAATTCAAGTCTCCAAATTTCCTGACCCTTTTCTTATCATGTCCGTCAACTGTCACTTTATTATATTTCTCCGACCTCTACCCTGTTGAAATCAACAGGCGGTTATGGGCTACTTGTGCACCTCTCCAAATTCCAGTTTTTTTTTTTTTTTTCATTATTTGTATACCATAATTTTAGTTTATTGATATTTCTTTTTATGTTGATGAGTTAAATAAAAATAGATATGTTGATGTTATTGTTTTGATAAATAACTATAAAGGACTAGTATTTGAATATATTTCTTGTGTTCAAAGTGATATTTTCATTGTACTTCGTAATTTATAATACGTATTTTGACGAGTTATGTATTTTTTGGTGCATAATTTCTTTTTGTTGTGGTCATGGGTTCTATTCCTTGAATATATTCTTTTGGATGTTCAAAGAGAAAAAAAAAGGATAAACTAGACAAACTTGATCAAGCTACGAAAAATGAGGAGGTTTGCATAGATTTTTTCTATACCAATCAAATTATTAATATAGAAATAGTAAAAAAATTGGTGAACAAGGATGGGAATGATAATGAAACAGTAGGATTAGAAAATCCGAGTGTAGATGGCAATAAGAAATGAAAACAACTAAGACCGAAAGTGACAATGATACACAAGTTGAAAGATGTCCTATAAGAGATGTAAAGATGAGAGACTTTTTAGTAGAACGAGGCTCTATAAGAGATGTGGATGATGATTTCAAGTACCCTCTTGATGATTCCTGTAGATTTATTTTCTGCACATTACGTACGACAATTTCCAAATGGAGAGAAACACAAGAGAAAGTGGTTAGTGTATTCCAAAATTGCCGATAATGTCTTTTATTTTTGTTGTAAATTGTTCAAGATGGAGAGACACAATACTCAATTGGTGACTACTGGTTTCAAGGATTGGAAAAATCTTGCTCAACGACAAACAAATTATTTGTATGAGTAAGTGGATCGAATTGGAGATGCGGCTGGAGAAAAATGAAATTGATGAGGGTTTGCAAGACCAAATCAATAGAGAGAGAACTATTATTGGCGACAAGTATTAGTACGAATAATTGCACTTGTATGAACTCCGGCACCACAAAATTTGGCATCTAGAGGGCACAATGAAATACTTCACAAAGATGGCAATGGAAGTTTTTTAAAGGTCATTGAAATGGTTGCTATGTTTGATCCCATAATGCAAGAGCATGTTCGAAGAATTGAAATAAAAGAGATTCATTACCATTATCTCTGTAATAAGATCCAAAATGAATTGATTCATTTATTGGCTCGTGAAGTCAAGAAGGCTATCGTTGGGAGAACTGAAAAAGAAAAAGGAAAAAAAAGTACTCATCTATTACACATGATTGTATGCCAGATGTAAACAACAACGAGCAAATGACTCTTGTGATACAATGTGTAGATGACCCTGTAAACCCAATAAAAGTCGAGGAGTTTTTCTTTGAGTTTCTGAAAGTGGATGATAAAACAGGACTTTTTGGCCTTTTTAGGGAACTAGAAAAGGTATTAGATACTCTTGAGCTAGACATGAATGATATAAGAGGTCAAGGTTATGAAGATGGGCCTAATATGAAGGGGAAACATAAAGGTGTACACAAAGAGATTACTTGATCGAAATCCAAGAGCTTTCTTCATGTCATGCCATTATCATACTCTAAATCTTGCACTTTGTGATATGACCAATTGTTGTTTTAAAGGTAAATACATTTTTGGGATTATCCAATGGATATGTTGCTTATTTCCTGCTTCAACATAGCGGTGTGATATTATGAAGGCTAATTTTACCGGTATTATTCTTAAGCCATTGTCCCAAATGAGGTGAGGAAATTGCATTGAAAGTGTGAACCATTGTTATGAAAGTGACGAACTTAGACATATTTTACCTAAGTTGGCACACATCAATGAAGTCGGAACAGTAACTAGTGAATATAAAATTTTGATTATAATTAAATGAATTCGAAAACTTTGATTTTTTTATGAGTTTGGTTGTATGTATGATTTATTATTTTTGTGAATTGTGTGAATAAGACAGTTCAAAACGAAAGCATTCATATGGATGAAGCTTTTAGGCAGTTGAAATTATCCATCATTCCTTTTTGGAAAAGCACAAAAGAAACAGGTTTTGAGAAAGCTAAAAATGAAGCTCAAGTCATTGCCACAAAATTGGGTGTTCAACTTGTATTTCGGACGAGGTGGGTAATTAAAATAAAAGGCAATTCGACGAGAATGAATATGAATACACACTCCGAATATGAATACACACCCCAATCAGCAAAAAAACCCTTTAGATGTGACATTTTCATGTTTGTTATTGATCAAGCTTACGGGTCGAGATCGGATTGGATTTGGTGTTTCGGAAAAAATCCATTTTTTTTCGGAAGTCTAAAATGACTTCCGATTCCGATTCCAATTTTTTCGGAATTCAAGAATTGATTCCGATTCCGATTTTTTTGGAATTTTCGGAAAATCGAAAATTTTCATTTTCGGAATTTTCCAAAAAAAAAAGGATAAATCCCACCGAAAAAACAAATCAAACAAGTAATCTTTCAAAAACACAAGAAGAGACTCACACAAATGACAAAACACAACAGACCCACACAAAACACAATAGACACACAAAACACAAACAAATATTCTTAAAAAACAACAGACACACTTAGACTCACAAAATAGCTAAATTGAAAATAAAACCAAAACAAATATTCTTAAAAAACAAGAAACAATTTCTTAAACCAAATAAAAGCACAGAACTTCTTAGGATAAACATAAACCAACAACACTACTTCAAATAAAACAGTAAAAAAAAAAACGATTCAAGTTTTAAATAGCATGAACTCCCAATATTATAAGGAAGAAAAAAATCGAACAAGCATCTACGTAGAATTATACTCCAATTTTGCTCAATCCTTAACCTTCAATCTCTTGAAATCTACAATGCAAAAATAAGCAAATATATTAACATTTTTATTAGAAACAATTGTAATAAACTAAAAATATTATAAATTAAAGACTAACAACACATACTCTTTTCTATTGATACGAGGTTATTGAGGGCTTCTTCAACATTAATTAAAGGGCTGCTTCTCAACTAATCTTGAGCACACAGCAAAGCTTCCACGAGCCGTGGTGTCAATGAACTATGAAACGGATCAAGTATTCGACCGGCAGAACTGAAACTACTTTCGGAAGCGACCGAAGTAATAGGAACCGAATGAATATTGCGTGCCATAATTGCAGCGACACGATAAGCTACAAGCTTGTTTTTCCACCATCCCAACACATCAAAATTTGAACCCCCTTCCTCTATCCCATCATACAAGTATCTTTCCAAATCGCTTAAAGCATCCATTGTACTCTTCCTTCCTCTTGAGTTTTGCCCGAATCTCATCTTTTATATCATTTCCTCGTACACTTTTCTTTTTTGCCGAATCATTAATCAAACTTGTTCTTCCAACTTCATCGCATTTAGCAATTTCGTTCTTGTAAGTTTCATCAAGGCGTGACATAAACAATTTCACGTCTCCGATGAAACTATCAACCTTCTTCTTTCTACTCTCATCGGTAAGTGAAGGATCGGACTCCAACAACTTATAATACCACAACTCCAAATATTCCATTTTATTGCGAGGATCCAAAACAACCGATGCAAGAAAAATTGGGTTTAACTTCTCAATTTTACAATATAAGTCAACATTTTCATGCATT